CCCCCCCCCCCCCCCCCCACAGAAATGTCTATGACAGTAGTCTACGTCGGCATGGTGGTCGCAGTAGCCGTAGTGTCAGCGGTAGTCCTGATTGTTGTTGTCGTGGTGGTCGTGATCGTGGTAGGCAACCAGAAGAATGCAGACGACATCAGACGACATTGAAACAAAGCGTAGACTGCAGATGGAAGTTTCGACAAATCAAGGCAGGTTCGCGAACAGTTGCAGGCAGCACGCGGTTCTTGGTGCCCAGATTTTGTTCAGGAGCGCTTGGAAGGAAATGCCTTTTTCGTCTGCAGCGCTGAAGACGGCATGCCGGGCTCTTAGCGAGACTCCTAGGCATGAATTGCCGTACATGCACAGAAGAGAACAAGTGTTTTCCACGTGGGCTATGCCTTGCGCGGGCACTTAATGCCGACACAAGGCCGATTGCATGCCTGGCCCCACAGCAGGCCACAGGATTTCGTAATTCTGCACTGTGCGATGCAGATCAGCAGACTTGGGCAAATTCAATCTCATCCCACTTGCAGCTGCAGATCCGACTCTCCAGCCAGCAACCGCATGCTGCAGAGGAGGTGTGGGGTTTCGCAGCTTCCCCAGTGCGTGTTGTGTTTTGTGCCACCTAAAACCTGAATTTATGTGGACACATGGTGAAGTCAAGGCCGAGGAGTCTATGTCGAAGGCCTCCAAGCAAGAGCCATCTAGCGCATCAAGTGCTGCAGTGGCAGTCGTCTGTTGCGCATTAGCCGGAGGGTTGAATTAGTATTGAACCATGCCGTCAGTTGTTCTCTTACATCGACAGCGCAAATTCATGAGAATCCGGCTGTAGGCCTTCTGGTAGCGCGGGATGCGCGGGAAGCGGGCGGCACGCGGTGGAATGCTGGGGCGGGGTATGACACTTTGTCAAGCTGATCCAACTCATGCGAAAGCCCAAACTGTCCACGACGTTTTGCTTTAGGCCCGCACTTACTGCTTCTTTCCCTATTGTTGACATGATTTCCTCCTTAACTTCTGGTTCCGTGTCTGCGTCCATCCTGCCCGTCAGTCTTGCTGATGTCCCAGTTGCAGTCGAGTTAGATATCCTTCTTTACACTACTCGGGGTAGGTGAAATATCGTGAGGTGATGCGTGTGGATGTCAGTTCTAGACCACCATGCAACTGCCAAGTTTGACGGCTGCAACCAAAGAAATTCAGTGGCTTCCGCCCTGACTCCAGTATATAGTTGAGTATGTTTTCGACTTGTTGTGGTTTCCAAGTGATGCGTTCGTGCTCAGAAGCAAGATTTGTTTTCTGAATCGGTGGTCCAAGTGGTGTTCCAGTAGGTGCGATTTGCTGCTGGTGTCCTCGGCTCCCAGCCCCCAATGTCAGAATGTACGTTTGCTATGATTGCGCCCTGCTGGAAGATGACGGTCACTACTGTTGTTTACAGGATCTGCTTTTGCGAGTGTGCGAGTCGAAAACCGAAATCCCAAATCATGAACTCGTACCGAGAGACCTCGTCTCGCTGAGACCAAGTTGTGAGACCCTACCCGAAACTGCCGAGAGCACCACTGAAGACCTACATGCCAAGGTCTCCCGGTGCCGGAAAGCATGTGTAAGGACAACACAAGGACTTTGGTGATGCCCGCGCCATTTGCCCATTTAGCATTTTAGAGCTGGCAGAGGCAAAGTTTCCGCCCACTTCCTGTTTGCACTGCGAGCGAGCAACACAGGACGCGAGTTGCGAGTCTTGTCCAGCGGCCGGCACAGGCCGTGAGGACACACAACCAGGCACAAATCCATCTCAGGTGGATCCGCCGTGAAACGTTTTGTACAGAATTGCGAAGGGCAACAGAGAGGGTTCACATACAAAGGCTCTCCTCCCACCACAGCTATCTCTGGGCATCGTGGGGATTGCCTGCACGCCTCCGCCGCGTGCCTAGCCCGAGCCTGCACGGCTAGGGGGGACGTGATGGCCCTTGCTTGAACTTGCTTCCCCAGCCCTATCGTCCAGTCAGGCCGTTTCCCTGCAGCAACTTAGTCATGGGAACAAGTTGAGAATAGTTCGGGTGGGGCGGGACTACATGCTGACTCTGATGCAAGCGCCGGATAAGTGGGTGCGCACCCCCCTCCTGGCCTTCCACTTCACAGGCCCTCGAGCTTTCAGTCCGGACATCTTCACAATAGTCAGCCCGTTTTGACGCCTGCGACAATGCGTGGACCAGTGCAGATTTCAAGGCCCCCAGAACGGAGAGACCCGTTGCTGGCAGGACACTTTCGCCATCTCTCCCAGCTACAACTGCTGCCTACAAGTCTCTGTTTTTCAAGAGAGGTGAACTCCTGTGGACTCACGCCTAGTGTCTCACAGCTCGGTGAGTCCTGGAGGTGATCCAGGGATCTACCACTCCCGCTTTCAAAACAGACCCGGTCGCGATAGGCCCTGCCGCAGAATGAGTTTGACACGATGCAGACTACAGCCGCAACAACGAGATGTCCAAGCTTGACCCCGGCTGCAACTCAAGATGTTACTGAAATCAGTTCCTTTCGTTGCCTTCGAGTACTGAGCACAGGATGCTGCACGAACGGCGAGTTAAATAACTCTTCTAGTTTGTAAATTAATTAGGCCTTGTTTGCGGTTGTTGCCACCACAACAAGTCCTTTCAGGTGAAGTGCAAGCATGAATTTGTAGTACGTAAGCTCTACTGCCTCGACTTTTCGAACTGGGCTCTTCGTTTTCTCTTCATTTACTTGTATCCACCGTCTTGGTTTATCTTATGTCTTCGTGTTTCTGAGCTCCCGGGACCCAGTTAGTTTCTGTGCTTGGCATAGAAGACTAAACTAAGGACGTCTCTGGTGACTTCAGGGGTCGTTCGGGCTAACGGGCGTATCCCGTCTTCACTGCGCTAGATCACCGAGGAATCGACGGGATCGCAGGCTCCAACGCGGTACTGTACTGGTTGTCAGCTGTTTGTGGCATTTTCTGCACGAAGCATGCAGTTCGCCTTAGTTCCTGTTCCTGGAAGTCCAAATCTCTAACGATCTCCCTGCGGTGCGACTTGGTGCGGGTAGGAAAAAAAAGAAGCACGCCCGTCGCTCGCACACTCTATGCGCACCGTAATAGCATCCTAACGCCCATGAGGTTGAGACTCGAAACCCAAATGCCGAAGCCCAGAACGGTTCAACCCTAATGCCAAAACCCCAGACCCAAACCGTGCTAGCGAAGCAGTTGAACATTTATATTTCCTCTCTACACTCTACAGTCGTGTATCTGTTCATGTATGATAGTGTAACCAAAGCCATGGCCTTGCTTTAAACCCGAAAGATTGAATCCAAAACCTTAAACCTTGAAGTTCAAAGAGGGCGACCCAAGTGACCCCGAAGAAACTCTAGGTGACGTAAAATAGCTGGGAAGACCCAAGCTAGGGCTCCGAGGCCGGATGCTGATGCAAGTTTCTGTTCTGAGGCCACAACCAATTCTGTGGGTGCATGTAAGCCCACATGGGGCTGCCGGTGTTGATTTTGAGGTCATGCGCTTCCCGTTTGAAAAATCGGGAATGAAACGTTGGGACTGGAACTTGGCATCTTCGCCACGCCCCGCAATCGCATTCCCAGACTTCGTTATGACATTCGGACGGTTTTGGTCTGGAAGTTGCTAAGATTAATTGCAGATGGTTGTCAGCTCGATACGAAGTGCATGAGCAGTTGGAATATTTCGGTAATTGAAAGCACCCATCGCCTCACACATTGTGAGAGACTTGTTTGGTGTGCAGCAAAATCCACTTCCCAACTGCCAGATCCCAGATCATGTCTCAAGTTTTCGGCGTGCACATCTTCGTGAGTTCCGAATTCGTTTCCGGTACTTCCGAATTACGTCCATTTTCATGTCCGGATTTCCGAAAGCATATTTGGGCCAAACATCGGAGCCCAACAATGCTGGGACGAGTCAGAGGCTGTTCTTGCGAAGGCTGTGTCTGCAGTTGAATTACAGAGTGAGGTGAAGAGAGGAGCTGTGGGCAATCTGGTTGGCTGGAGCTGAACTCACGTGGGGTCGTGCGTGGGGTCCCCGTACGTTTGGCATGGTCGCATCTGCATGGTGCACGGACCAACGGACGTGGGGAGAAGATGCTGATAGATGCTGTACGTGAAAGCCTTGCGACCTCTAAGAATAAACCGTTGTGGCAATGCAGTACTCGATGGCAGTCATGACCAGAAGTGAGAGAAACCGATGCGTACCTAGCACTGGGCGATGGCCTCAGTGCTTTTGCATCGGTGCTTTCCTTCACCCTGGATTAGATCCCCTGTTCGTGAGCAAGTTGATGTGCGATTTTAACGCAGTGCTGCGACAGCTTTCCTTTGTGGCTGGAGTGTCCCTCATAGCGTGTCCCAACCGAGGCAGCTGTTCTTTTGTTGCCTGCCTGCCTTCCTGCCTGCCTGCCTGCTTGCCTGCCTGCCTTCGGATGCAACTCTTTTATTCACGGATGGTGTTTGCAAAGCGAAGGCGGAACGAGAACAGAAAGAGGCGGAAGAGATGAAACAGTACGAAGCAGGCAGGCATCCTGCAAGCTTTGTGTTTGTTGTCCCTCTCAGTCAGAGAAGCACGAGGGAGCGATTTGTCGCGGTTGCGTCCCGAAGATCGCCAAGGTTTGAAGGACCCCAGCAAGTACGTGATGCCCCCCCGCAAGAGAATGCGCGAACTTCTCGGCACGGACCACAGCACACGAGCCAGCAAATGCTGTTCCATGTCATGTCATTCTGTGCGCGTGGTGTAGGTCTCCCACCGGAAAAGAAAACAGTGTCGAAGGGCCAGCTGCTAGCCTCAACTCTTCCGTTTCGTGAAGGCCCGGATTTGAGTGCTTGATAGGCTCGATGCTGCCCAGGCTGCTCGCCAAGACCTTGCCTCCCGATGCACTTCTTTGGGGTCGAGCTCTGCTAGACTCCCAGCCCCTGCGTCGGAAGCAGCTGTGGTACAACGTGGAAGAGTGTCTGGCTTGCCATGGTATGCACTGCAAAAGTGTTGGACGTGGAGCCTTAGAAAGGGTCCAATTTGCGCCAAGGATGCAGAGATTCAAAGAGAAGGGAGGCTCCGTGTCCTACAACTTGAAGGTGGACCGAGAAAGGAAGGCAGCTTGCACAAGAGTCAGGCATTGATCAACAGTTTTGATGAGATTTTGTGACACGGCGACATATCTGCGACATACCGCGATGCTCTGATGATTTTATCCTGACCCTACAGCTTGGGTTGTGTCGATGCATAACGCTAGGAACAATTGAGCTGCGTTTTTTTGTCCACTTCTTACGGAAGACTAAAGTTGGACACAAAACTTTCACTTGATCTCGGAATCTTGCTGGGACTGTGCGCGCGGAAGGACGCGGAAGGGCTGCGGAAGGCGTTGCTCTGCGGAAGGGCTCGGAAGCACCAAATACGTAAGTCGCCGCGCCCAAAGAAGACATGTCTCGACCGAAACATACAATAGTGCTTGAACAGCTAATGTTGTACTCTTCAGGGGTTCAGGTCTGCTTCCAGGAATCCCGAGGCATGCCCAGGAATTGTTGCACGGTAAACTGTGGTGCCCGCATTCGCTGAAAGGAGTTTGTAATACGTCAAGTGGGGTTTATGCTCTTGCGGAAGGGGTTCGCTCGCAAAAGGGTCCGCACAAGGGCACGCGGAAGGGACGACATGAAGTGAAGGATTCTGCGGAAGGGGTTTTTGTGTCTTTAGGATTGAAACAGAATAAAAATACACCGCTCAATTTCTCATCTTTACGAGCAACACGGGCGCGAGTAAGAGTAAGACGCAAGAATGATACGGAAGCAGACATGTCGCCCAGGACGACAGCACCCATAGTAACGGAACAGACTGCACAAGCGTTTGCAGCAATGAGGAACCAAGCATGCTTTTCAGAGCGAAAACCGAACACAACAAGAGGAACAAGTATTCGTTTCATGAGCTCATCCGAGGTGACGTCATAGAAAGCCAAGAATTCGTTTGAACGAGAACGCCACACAACCGAACAGACGGACAAACTGCATAAGTTCTCGAATTACGAGCAATGCGTGAGTGAAATGAAACACTGGAAAAGCCTCGAACATGTCGTCCACAATATGACAAGCAGTCAGCATAACTCACTCCAGACCAACAGGTTGTGCGAAATAACCAGAACTTGGCATTTGGAGCGCCCGGAAATGCTGCCAATATTACAGCAGTTGGGGCATTTTGAAGCCATGCCTGTAAACAACACAAGTCATAGCTGGAAATGCAGCGAATCACAGCATTGGAGGCCTGACAGCATGCAGAAATGCTGCAACTTAGAGCATTTAAGATCGCCACACCAAGCGATGTGAAGAAAAGAATCTCCTGCATTGCGCCGCTGGAACACCAGGTGTGTAGCACCTCAGGCCACATCGAACCTGCCTGGCCTGGAGAGTCCGAGCATGAGCGAAATACGACCTAAAGGGAAGATGTTCACGTATCCTCGGATCTCGGGGCCATGTCTTGTGCCTGAACTTACAACGGTCAAGCCAAGGTAGCGTAGCATCGGCCCTCACTCCACGAGGCTGCCGTCGCCGCATGTGCGAAGTTCGAAACACGCAGTAGAAGTTGACACATTTGGCGGGGGCTGGTGTCTGTACAGGGCCCAAGACCAGATGACATGTGTTCGGCATAGCTCACTTCTTATAGTGCAGCGTTTTCCTACTCAACAGCCTGCAAGTGGTGTTTCTCGGCTGTTGGGATAAGTCTTATGCATATCTTATGCATGCACGTGCCTCATACTGCCCTGCCGCTTTGTCTGGTCAAATTCTGGCCACGTCATTTGAACTCTCGGCAGTATGCTGGCGTGGCATCATATTCAACTGTTTAATGCCCGACGTTTGTCCAGCTCCAACCCATGAGTTTTCAACACGCTTCACAGTCACAGATGCTGCTATGCATCAGGTACTAGGTTATTCGTTGTGGCCGGCAAACACAGTGGCAGAAAATGCTGGGCGCCGATGTGGAGTGGTTTGCCGACCATTCTTGATGTTTCCTGGAACCGCAGCCAGAAGCCTTCCCTGCGAACAAGCCCCGCAACACTTCGCCTCAGCATGTCCAATCTTCTTCCGTAGGAACACACTAAACTCGAAGCTGCTTGCTGCTTGAATTCCTGATTCGACAGCAGCTTTTCTGGCTCAGCCCATGCCTGCCGACGTGAAGCATTGGAATTGGTCAAGCACTGTTGGCGTGGGTCCTGCATGGCTTTGCCGTCGTTAGTGGATGTTCTGGCAGCCTTTCCTGACAATGCCAGCTATGACGATGTGCGGCAAACATTATTACCTGCTTTGCCAAAATGGGGTCGGGAGCCTCGCTTGGCCACTTCTGTCTTGAAGCAGGTGGAGCGCGCAGCAACCGTCATAACGATGATGGACGTAATGCAGGGCTGCCGCATAGAAACAAACAAGTTCCACTACAGCGTGGCAATTGCTGCATGTGAAAAAACTGGCGACTGGAAGCTTGCTGTTGAACTGCTCGCTCGCATGGAGCGGCACTTGGTCTCGCCAGATGTGGTATGCTTCAACGCGGCGATGGGAGTTTGCGAAAAATCTGCCGATTGGGATGGCGCCATTTCGATTTTGAGTTTGATGACTTCCCTGAGAACTTTGCCAGACACTGTCTCATATAATTCTGTGCTGGGAGCGTCTGCTCGTGCGGGGCATTGGGAAGTGGCTCTGGGCATTTTGTACCAACTTCATAGAAGATCTGCTGCCGATGTGATCAGCTTCAGCTCAGCTCTCGCCGCCTGCGCGAAAGGCACAAAGTGGGACACAGCTTTGCACCTTTTGGCTTCCATGCCAGCTGGGCGGGTGTTGCCAAATGCATTCAGCTATTCCTCAGCCATTGCAGCAACAGCAAACTCCGGCTTGTGGGAACATGCGGTGCAAATGCTCTCCGACATGGCGGAACGAGCAGTGCTCGCCGACGCTTTTGTATACAGTGCGGTGACCACTGCGTGTGGTAGAGGACAGGAGTGGGAAATGGCGATGTTGCTTCTGGGAAGGACAGTCGAAGAATCCCCGGATCACGCTGAGGTGGTCTTTAACAGTGCCATCAGCGCTTGCGCCACGTCCGCCCAGTGGCAACCTGCACTGTGGATACTAGCATCAATGCCTTTTCCCCAGGTTGTCAGCTACAACTCAGCCGTCGCCGCGTGTGGAAGATGCAGCTTGTGGCAAGTGTCAATCTCATTGCTAACCCGCATGGCCACGGAAAGCTTGAATCCAGATGAAATTTCGTACAACAGCGCCATCGATGCCTGTGGTGAAGGCGGTAGCTGGCAACTTGCCCTGGATCTCTTGGTACAGATGTACCGGCGAGTGGTACGCCCCGGCGAGGTTAGCTTCACGAGCGCCTTAAGCGCAACTGCCAGAGCTGCGAACTGGCATATGTGCATGGCAATGCTTTGCCGCATGGGCGAACTTCACCAAAATCTGACATCAGATGTATTTGGAATTGCCATGAGTGCCTGCGAGGGCAGCGGCGCGTGGGAGCCGGCTTTAGTTCTTCTCGAAAGCATGCTGGCATTGCGGGACACCCCGGACGCGCTGCATGTAGGGTCTGCAGCGAACGCATTACGCAAGAGTTCAGGGAGGAAGCGTGCCATGGATCTTTTGGAAATCATGAAAGAGGTATGGTTGCGCCGAGATGCAGAGAAAGGCTTGGCACTGACGAGAAAAGTTCCCACCTCCGTTGTCTCTCATCCCACAGTTCTGGGTTTTGGATGCGGGATCGTGGCAGCCAAGAAGTCTGACGACGTCACAACTGAAGTCTTTGCGGAGCGCATTGCTGCATTACTGTGGCCAGGAGCTCGCAGCACTGAAGTGCTTAGCATAGTCTCCAGGCTTGATCGAGCCACTTCTGGGGTTTTACCTTTGGCTTCGGGACCTGCAGGATCTTTGGCTGCGAACTGGTTGCAATCGCAATTTGCCAGTCGCCTTGTCAAGAAGAACTATGTGTGCTTATGCGAAGGCCCCAAGCTAGGCATGGTCTCTGAAACAGGTCAAGTAACCTCCCCGCTGCGCACCAGCAAGATCTACGAGACAAAGAGGACCGAGGTTTCTGAAGCTGGCCGAGAAGCGCTTACAAAGTACCGGGTTCTTGCACGGTACAGAGCGCCGACAGTGCCAAATCCTGAAGACCACGAGCTGATGCTCTTGTCCGTGAAGCCCGTGACAGGCCGAACCCACCAAATCCGAGTGCACCTGGCTCATCTGAATCGCCCTATTGTCGGTGATGGCAAATATGGCAGGCATTTGTCCATGCTTCCCGGCCAGAGACTCTTTCTTCATTGTAGTCGCATTGAGCTACGAGACCTCTTGGGCAAGCGTTTCTGTGTGAAGGCGAGATTGCCTTTGGAACTACGAGATGTTCTTGCATCACTGAAACCTTTGCGAATTGACGAAGCCTTCGGAGGCGCAAAAAGGTTGCATTTACAGTTCTTGCAGCTCGGAACCTCATCAGCAGTAGAATATAGACAGGATAGATTTCCTGTGGCCAAGGCCACAGTAACGGCCCCTTCTTTTCAGCTGTCCGAGATCGCAGTGCAAGCGAATGCTCCTTGCAGGACAGCATGTCCGCGATACAGTACTCTTCGAAGCATTTCGGCATACAGACATTCGTAGCCGGTCTTAGTCTTGATTACTTCTACGAAACCCACCAACGACAAACCCCGCCGTAAGAGTTCGGCAAGAACTCTCTTCACACATGGAAAATCGCAAGCAACGTCAATTGAAGTTGTCAAGGAGTTTTTCCGCGAAACTGAGTAAGGGTTCTCAGTGGGTCGTCTGGTATTGAGTTTACGATGACAGGTCCTAGTTTTTCTGCTTTTCCCATGCGTGTCTCTCTTTGCGAGAGAGAGAGTGGGTGTATAATATGATGGTTAGTTATACGGTTAAGTTATGCAGGGGTTGCAGTTCTGCTGTTGGGCACTCCCGAGTTATCTGCATGTGTGTGCGTGTGTGCGTTTTGCTGACGGTTTCGGATCTGACTTAAAACTGACACACAGGCACCCAGCTCCAAGTTGTTGTTGTCGTACTGCTTGCAAACTCTTGAATGACTTCAAAACTCATACACACCCTCCGCTCTGTCTGTTGACAGGGCCTACCCCGTGGCAGCATGTCTCTTCAGATTTGAGTGTGTTTGCGTCTGAGGGTGCTTGTCTTCAACCGCTTGCTTGTAGTCGGGCTTTGATTGTGTATGTGTTTGTCTCGACAGCAGCAACACGATGGGGATCTAGTTCGCGCTACAATAATGATTCAAGACGAGGGTCATCCTCGGTGGAGGATACAGGTGCCAATCCACAAGACTTGAAGCCTCGACATCAACGCAAAGCCTCATTAGAAACGCAGCTTCATGTGCATCATGAGGGCAGTATCTGCTTTGGGCACCAGAGCCAGCATTGTCATGCATGTCAATGTGAGCAGCGAGCAGTGGAAAAGATTACACACAAAGAGGGCTTGACCCTGGCCTCCCGTGCACAGCTCTGAGCGCAAGCAGGCACACAGCAACGACTCAAGGACTTTCGGACAGCTGGTTGTTGGTTGTTATAATTTGATGAATACAAATCTGGAAACGGGCCGCTGATTCGAAGCTGCATCGTGAGATTCTGAGGGGCAGCTTACACTTCCGGGTCCCAATCAGTTCTTTAGTGAAAGGTTGGCCCGCAGACATGGTCGCGGTTGCCTCAGCCGTGAAAATTCGCTGTGGATGTGGATATGCGAGTTCGCAAGGGCGATGCATCTTTGGGCTTTCGCTGGCTTCGTCTTCTTCGGCGCTGCTGGGCCGCTTGCTGCCCAGCGCAACCTGAGTGGAGCGCTCTCACGCGCGCTCTGTTATAACAAGCTCGCAGGCCACTGATTTTCGATTTCCTCACCACCGCAGAGTTGCACGACTTCGATTGCGTGGAGGCGCCTTCCCACCGCCACTTTAAACGCCGGAGGATGTCGAAAAATAGCTAAGCATCTAAGAAGCATTGCCTATAAGTCCCTGCGCACGTCCAGGCGGCTGTGGTTTTATGTAATGTTGTGTTGTTCTTTGAGTCTGTATGTGTGTGTGGATGGGTGGAAGCCTTGGTTCCAAAGGACGAAGAGTTTGCAGAAGGTTGTGCAGCGCATGTCCCTGGACAGGTTACCCGAATGCTTTGGATCGAAATGGTACTGTTTTCAGTGTACAAGTGATGAAAATATGAAGCACTTACCACCTCTGTGTGTTGGGTTTGTCGCCGGTTGGCAAAAAGAGAGGGGGAGAGAGATAGACGCCGGGGAAATCCATCCCGCATGCATAGTAATGCCTTTCCGGTTGTTTGGTTTAGGGGGCTTCGGCTATGGAAGGGTCTCCCTGGTGTCTCCTACAGTCCGGCCCCTTCCTTTGCAATCAAGGGCCCTGTATGGTCCCCACATAGATCTCATGTCGCTATGTTCTCAGATCCGGGGAAACCCCCAGGGCATTCTGTTCAGGTTCCTTGTCTTTGGAAGGTTCCCTGGGTTTTGGTTTGAGGGTTTTTTACTATCTGCACTACTCTCTTGTACCGAGTCTAGGCTGGACAGAATGGGAGAACATCAGAGCGTATGAGCCTGTAGTTTTTCATGTCGAGTGAAGCTAGTGCTGGCAATGCTGGGGAGCCTTCCCCATCTTCCTTTGAGTCGCCCTCACAATCTGAAGTTGAACATGTCCCAGCACTTTCGGCACGTCCACTATTTGTGCTTGACAGGGGAATATCCCCTTCTCTTTCAGTTCAGTTCAGTTCGGTTCTGTTCTGGTTCCTGGACTTCAGTAGGTTTCCTGCTTTGGGGTTTTTATGGGGCCTTCTCCCTTCGGGCTGGTCATAGCTGAAAGAGAATCGCTGGCACATTACCCACTAGGCAGCTCCATGCCTCCAAGAAAGTGAAGCCGAGGCGCCATGATCTAATGATTTGATCTACCGTCCTTATACTGATCGCTGTTTGTTGGCCATTGCTGTTCGCATTGTTCGCAACTTTCTTTCGCGCGCCGCCTCTGCCTTTCTGGTGCATGAGGATCTCACCTTTCGCTCCCCACATGTCGGGGGCGCTAACGCGCGCGGGTGAGGGGGACTTGTTCTCCCTTGCCCCTAGTCTTGGCGAAAGAAAGAGATAGAGAGAGCCGCGGTGGTTTGGTTCGGGATGGAGGCAGGGGAGGCTTCGAGGTTGCGTTAAAGGTGTACGGGGGACAACCCCGAGCCGTTTCACGCCGACGTGCGCAAGACGCAGTGCAGACTGGAGCCCCTAC